ACTCTTTTGAGTACAATTTTTGAAACATGTCAAATGTAGATGGCATGTCAATTAAGTCAATTGGGTAGAAAATTAATATTTAACTAACCTGTTAATCAGAATGTCATGATATACTTTGTTAAATGATTTGCTGAAATCAAGATATGTAACAAAGCATTCCTACAAATAATGCTATATTTCATCAAAGTGAAAGAAAATTACAAAACAAGCAAAAAAATATTCTACAATTCTACAATATATCCTCACAGTGTCTGGACTATTTCTACCTAGAGTTGGTCAACAACAGAGTTGGAGAACCCAAAGGCCAAAAAAGGGAGATGTCTGCAGTTCAGACGTCTTTCTGTAAGGAAGGTAAATATTTATACTTTAGCTCTAGATAAAATGGCATCCATTCAATTCTTTTAAGCCATTTGTCTCTTAAACAATTTCCACAAAGTATGCTGGGAACATGTTGGAATACATTAAAAATAACCTGCCTCTATTGCCACTCTCAACAAAAAAAAAAATCAACTGACCTCATTATTTAGCTGCCAATGAACATTATTCTTGAGCCCTTGAACTCACCATGCATACTTTTGCTTCATCCCAAAGTTTAAATCTATTTAGTATCAATAACTTTTCCATTAGAGCTATTCTGCAAAGGAACCAAGAGAGTGCCAATAGCAATTCTCTGCTTGCTTCTGAACCATCAGCAGGAAGCTGATAAAATTTTAGTCTTCTATATCCATAGCTCAAGGCTGCATATTTGACAAATCTGACTTGGGTGCCTAAAGAAGAGATAAGGTAAATCTTGATTATTTATTACCATTCAAGTAACCACAAATTCATCAAAAAGAGTGCCAAATGCTAAAGCAAGTGGAACCAAAATTTGGGAGGCAAGGAGATAAAATCGCATCACCTCAGAAGTTAATTTATACATAGTAGCCTAGGAGGACATGTTCCGTTTCCTCCTTTTAAACAAATTTGACATTCAAGATTAGAGCCTCTGACAGTAATAATTATGTACTAGCCTCTCCGTACCAACTCAGCTTCCCCAATAATAACTTATTTCTTAAAATGAAAAGAAAGTGATTCCCATTATCCCTGAATTCAATGAATTATTAAACAAAGGCTTTGTAAAATTATAAAAAAGAAGAAACCATTGAGTCCAATATCTTGCTATATTTAGAATATTTATTCTAAAATAAATATTAAAGTATTTATATAAAATGACTGTCCAAATTCTGTTCAAACATCTCCAGTGAAGAGAACCTCACCAACTTTTTGAATAATTCATTCAATTGTCAAATTATAATGGTGACCGTTGATTCTTCTTCTACATTTAACTGGAGCCTTTTTATAACTATAGCCCATTCTTCTATAGGAAATCCTTTCAGATACTTAAAGGCTGCTATCATAATTTTTACAGTAATTATTATTTCTTGAGGGAAGACTGGAGAGTATCATTTCATTTCATTTATTTCATTTATTAAATTTATAGGCCGCCCAATCCCGGAGGACTCCGGGCGGCTTACAATGAAAGAAGAAAA